TCTGAGTAAACGTGTCATTTGTCAGAAACACGAAGGGCAACCGTTCCGTCTACCCCAGATGCCACAGCTACCAGCAGAACGAGTACAGCAGTCTCATCCATTTCAGTACATCGGCCTCGACTATCTCGGCCCATTCAGCGTCAACATCAGCAGTACAACACAGAAGGTATGGGTGTGCCTCTTCACCTGTATGGCAACCCGTGCGGTTCATTTGGAAGTAGTGATGGGATTAACAACGGCCCAGTTCGTCAACTGTTTGAAACGATTCATTGCCAGGCGAGGACGACCTGACAAGATCATCTCAGACAATGCGCCACAGTTCAAGTTGGCACAGACGTACCTCGATCAGAAGTGGAAAAAGATCTTAACCTGCCCTGAGCTGGCCTGCTACCTTGCAGAACACAAGGTAACCTGGGTTTTCACCACTGAGTTTGCACCGTGGCAAGGCGGTTTCTATGAGCGACTAGTTGGTCTGGTGAAGCGAGCTTTCCACAAAGCCATTGGCCGCAGTCGATTCACCTACGAGCAGTTCAACACAATCACAACGGAAGTTGAGGCAATGCTAAACACACGCCCATTGACGTATGTACCGTCAGAGTCGACAGATGGAATCATCACGCCAAACCACTTCATTGCCCCAACTCGCTCACTGGGACTTCCTGACGATATCCAGTCAGATGACTACATGCCCCAACGAGATCCAGTCGCTACTATTACGTCGCTGCAGAAGAAGCAGCAAGCTGCACTGGACACGTTCTGGAAGTTGTGGAGAGATGACTATATCCTTGCACTTCGCAGCCGACAGCCAATCAACCATCGTCTCAGGAGGAGCCGAACCACTGATCCCAAGATTGGCGACATGGTCATGATCAAGAACGACCAGCTACCACGTGGAATGTGGAAGATGGGAAAAATCAGAGAACTGCATGACAGCGCGCAGGACGGCAAGACTCGTTCGGCGACAGTACAGACGACCAACTCCATCCTGAACCGACCGATCAACCACCTCTACCCGCTAGAAGTGACCGCAACGGAGGAGAAGGAGAACACTGATGTCATCGACAACGGCAGCACTGATGTTGCTAGCAGCAGGCCTCAGCGCATGGCCGCCCAGAAGGCAAAGGAAAGGCTCAATGCACAAATGCAGGCTGAGCTGGTGTCTGTAGCTTTCACCTTTGTTTCTACGTATGTATGTATGTAGACAGTATCTATTCCATTGTCTTATTCAATGCCACAGTAAAATAGTTTGTTTCTTTTGTTCCTCGGGAGTGTCATGACTGCGCAGTCATGAACTTACTATTTCCCACTTTTCCCACGTCGTGCATTATTGTACACATTTCGCGTATGCATGCTTTGACCCCTACTATCTCTTACGTGACTTAGTTGCAGCCATATCTGTTGTAAGTTCAAACGGGAGTTCAAACTCTCGCTCCTTTTGGACGCCTTACGTCATAATCGTTTACCGTGTTTTTAGAGCGGAGAACAGTTTTTCTTCTTGGTCTAGTTTTCTGGTTTTTTGGTATGGAAGTTGTGTCCGGTTAGACCTTCTTCTCGTTACAGTGTTTTCGATAATAGCACTTGATATGATGAGTTTTTGATGTTCTCACGACGGAGACGAGGGACTGTGATCACAGCCACCGTTGAACTGCCCTGGAGTGCAGTAGTAATAGTATTTTAGACCCCCTTATTTTCCCTCGTTTATGTCCGTTCGTGACACCGGCCAGTAGAGGATGAGCCTGATGAGTATGAGCATGCAAGTCGCATGTACGACTCCGCTTTCGCCGTCAGTAGCTATGCACTCGCTGGCGACAAGACATTCCAGACTACACTCAAAGTCAATGGTGAGCTGTGCACTGGACTGTTAGACACAGGTGCAACTCGGACGATCCTCACTGATGATGTGATCAAGCCCACGCGCAAGAGTGACCGCTTGCTGAAAGCGTACAATGGCGGTGTCGTAGAGACTTTGGGCATGGCTGACGTCCACATTTCACATGGTGGCAAGAACGTGAAGTGCAGTTGTTTCGTGGTAGCAGCCAGTCAGCACTCCGTTCTCTTCGGACAGGATGTCATCAAGGAGCTGAACCTCCTGTCACAAGCAAACGTGGTGAACGTGTCACCCATCGAAATCTCTCTGGAAGACGGTTCAAAGCCTCTAGCCCAGCCACCACGACGCCCAGCTTTCAGTATCCGGGCTGACATCGAGACCGAGCTGAAACGGCTGACCAAGTTGGATACAGGGGCGTAGCACCCGCTACGACTGGTACGACCATGGCCGTACCACTTTTCGAAAAGTGTGGTCCGTCCGGAATGTGCAAAACCGTAATAAAAAAATCAGGATCCATCGATATGCATATCATTATGCGCATCAGACTTTGACCTTTTTCTAGACTCGTACTCGTAGATCTACTCGTAGATCTGTTATGCATCTGCAGTCGTGCTGAGTAGATCTACTGTACTCGACTCGACTGCACACGTACACTGCGCCAGAAGGGTGCCAGAAGTTCCCAGAACGCAGGATTTTGTGTCTTTTTTACAAAAATTTCCGGGGAGGGAGACGTCCCCGGACCCCCCCCCCCCTCCAACACGGCCTTTGGCCGCACCTACCTTTGGTCGTACCACTTCCAAAACCCCTCCTACGCCCCTGGGATATCATTGAACCCGTCAAGGAAGCCACGCCGTGGGTGTCACCACTTGTTCCAGTCCGCAAACCGAATGGAGCATTGCGACTATGCGTGGACTACAGAGAACTGAACAAGAGAGTTACACGTGAGCGCAACGTTCTTCCAACCGTTGACGAGATCACAGCTCAGCTTGATGGCGCAGGGGTCTTCTCAGTTCTGGATGCGGAATCTGGATTCCATCAGCTACTCTTGTCAGAAGAAGCAAGGCCTCTAACGACTTTCTCATCGCACTGTGGCCTGTTCCGTTTCAAGCGTTTACCTTTCGGTATCGCATGTGCGCCTGAGATTTTCCAGCGAGTGGTGTCCGACATTCTGGAAGGCCTGCCAGGAGTCATCGTCTACATCGACGACATCCTAGTGTTTGGCTCCAATCAAGCAGAACACGATGCACGGCTAGAAGCAGTCAAGCAGCGACTGCGAGCAGCTAACCTCCAACTCAACTGGACCAAGTGCCGACTGAACCAGGACCGTGTGAAGTATCTGGGACATTGGCTAAGTGCGACCGGCTTGTCCCCAGATGATGACAAGTTACAAGCCATCCAGGAGCTGGCCCCTCCGAAATCTATCTCTGATGTGCGACGGTTCCTGGGGATGGCTACGTACCTTGGAAAGTTCATTCCGAACTTGGCCCAGATCACGGCTTCTCTGCGCAGGCTAGCAAAGCGTGATCCCTTCAGTGTGGATGATGAAGTCCTGCAGGCATTCACCTCAGCAAAGGCTGGTATAGCGTCAGCTTTGCAAGCGTTGGCATTCTTTCAACCAGCATTAGACGTCCCTACTGCTATCAGCTGTGATGCATCGCCAGACGGTTTGGGAGCAGTCCTGTGGCAGAAGAATACCAGTGGCTGTTGGGTACCAGTGACATGTGCCAGTCGCTCTCTATCAGATGTTGAGTCACGCTATTCTCAGCTGGAACGAGAGATGCTGGGAGTGGTATTCGGCCTGACTCGCTTTCGGCAGTATGTACTAGGCCGAGAAGTGCAAGTGTTTACGGATCACAAGCCGCTTATTTCTATCGTCCAGAAGCCGTTCGACGAAGTGCCACCGAGGCTTCAGAGATGGCTGGTCGCATTGATGCCCTATCGCTACAGCTTGGTGTTCGTCCCTGGCCAGCAGATGGTTTGTGCTGACACCCTCTCTCGAGCTCCTCTACCTGATCGCACAGCTTCACCTGCAGAGGCACGTTCAATGGCGGAATTCGTTAGTCTCATTCTCGAGGCTTGTCCGGTTCGTTCCAAGGATATTCGCCAGGCCACGGACTCTGATCCGACACTGAGCAGCGTCCGACAAAGAGTGGGCACATCAGTTTGGTCAGGGTGCATCCAAACGGAAGAGCCTTACTTCCTGCTACGCCATCAGCTGACAGTCATTGAAGGGATTGTCATGCTAGACAATCGCTACGTCATTCCAGAAGAGCTCCGCCCAGCGGTGCTGCGACTAGCACATGAAGGTCATCCAGGCATCGATGCATTCCGGGATACCCTTCGCGAACGGGTTTGGTGGCCAGGTCTCATGAAGGATGCCAATCTGTTTGCAGAGAAATGCTCTGAATGCTGGCGTAAACGCTCCAATCCAGCGCAACAGCTCCTCCCTACAGAGATAGAAGGTGTCTGGCAGAAACTGGCCATTGACCTTGTTACCATTGAGGGAGCCACGTTCCTGTCTGCTATTATTTTTCTCTTTCTTCTTTTTTTTTTCTTTTTGAGGGAAGGGGGGTAATGTAGATATCGTACATGCAGTTGTATGTAGTACTATGTACGCACGTGCAGGCATGCCGTGCTTGTACCGCTTTATGTATAGCACGAGAGAGAGGACATGGCGCACTTCTGATAGAGAACTAAAGAAGATCTGTTTAGCACAATGGCTGTCTTGTGAGTGACTGAATAGATGTCTACACCCACCATCACTGCTGCGTCTCGGTGCAGCCCCTGCTAGCTCCTGTTGTCACGTTCGTCCTAGTCTCAGTATCCATTGTCTTTCTTTATTATTTTCGAGCTGGGAGTGTGAACATAGTAAAAAAAAAAAAAAAAAAATAGTATCATTATTGCAGTATTCATGGTATTGGATCCACTGCGTACTGGTCATCAAGTCACAAAAAACTGTAGTCTGTCGTTTCGCCGTAGCCGTAGGTGTGGAGTCCTGGTTTCACGACATAATTGTACTCCTCTGCAAAGTAAAGTAACTTAGTTACATCATGTCATAGCAACAAAAATGGCGTCTTCCAAAAAAGCTTGCAAATGCGCAAAATATAATTCAAGATCCCAAAAAGTGGGGAAAAAATACCTCATCACCAAAAATGAAGAACTCTTGAACCTCCAAGCCAGCTGATTCCAATCGAAAGTTCTTGGTATTTTATATCTATTCAATACCACGAGCTTTTTTGGATAGTCAACCCAGAGGGACATCCCAGGTCCAATTCTGAGGGCTGACGCTGAAGCGTTGGCGGAACTAGTTCCAGCCGAGCCATTGGCTGAGGCCGTAAACTTCAAAAAAGGAAACTGAGGGGAGAGAAAGACAAAAAGAGGTCATGGCTGCACCGTTCGTCCAGGAGGCGTTGAAGCTGCTGACGCAGCGCGTGACATCTTCCAAGACTCGTGCGCGAATCGAGGCGCTCAGGGATGTGGTCACTCCCGCCGTGATACGAAAAGGTAAGGAGCGCATGATCCTGCGTGGTTTGTCCTCGGTATTTACACTCCACCAAATTCACCCCTAATTGCCCTACAAGAATGCAGCTGTAAGCTCTCCGAAAAATTCAATTTCCAGTACGGAAGCCTATCCTTCTCTTGGAATCTTAGCTACATCACTACATGTATGTCAAGAAGTGTGCCAACGGCACCATTTGTGTTTATAATTTGTTCCGAAATCTGTACTTTCGCCTGGATTGACCAACTGCAAAGCATCCAGCTACGTGGTGAATCTGGCGAATACTGAGTAGCACGGACTTTTCAATGCGCACATTTTTAAACGAGTGGTCTCATTTGAGTGCAGGTGTGGTGTTTGCAGGTGATGGCACTTTTCAGTGGTTGTGGCCCACTGGTTGATATTTTTTTACGTGCACCAGAATTTGATCATGTGTGTAGTTTGATCGTGAGCAGCACTGGTTTGAAAAGCTGCGTACTATCGTGGAGACCGTTCTACGCCAGAACACCGCACGCACGCACACACATACACACACATCCACACACACATCCACACACACATACACCCCCCCCCCCCCCCCCCCACACGCACGCACGCACGCGCACATGCAATGTGGCTTGGAAGTGCTCGGTCACAGCCAAGCTGGAGTCAAGACAACTCATACTATTGGATCCAGTGTTTGTATGGATGCACGCACGTCTGGGTCGTTTCCTTTCCAACAGCGTGTCACCTATCTGCCGGTAGTGACTGGACTAGTTCCTCCCGGCTGTAGGCCCACTGCTAGTACCAACAGAACACACCAGCATACAACACGAGGGGGGCCTATCCACCAGACAGTAGAGGTTTTAAGATACACTCGAAGTGAACGTGGACACCCGCAGCGGTGTACTCGCTTCAACGCATCGCAAACGTTGCACGTTTTGCGTTAAGATACACTCGACGTGAGCGTGGACACCCGCAGTGTGTGTGTGTGTGTGTGTGTGTGTGTGTGTGTGTGTGTGTGTGATGCACATCTTAGTCTCCCCACAGTACTTGCCTACGGGCTGAGTGGATCCGATACGACCCAACTGTGGACTTGTGACGTGTCATCGCTTTCGAATCCCTGTCTACTGTATAACACGTTATTTTCGGTGTAATTTTAATTTCGGTAATTTCAGTAGAGAATTCAGGCACCTAAATTTAGATTACACCTAAGGGGTCGTCCGTAATTATCGAAAAATTAAAAAATCCGTCCTCGTGCAAAATTGTCTCTGACCCACCCACCCACCCCCCATTTTTTCCCATTAATTTTTTGATTTTTACTGATGCCCAGCTCGAAAATAAGAACTCCTGACCCCATGTTCACTGATTGCACCTACATGTACATGACGTATGTATGTCAAGTACTAGTAGCTAAGTAAAGTGAGTAGGAGGTCTACCGAAGGCCATGCACATCCTACAATAGGGATGTCAGCGAACGCACTGCGCAGGCCTCTGCGCATGCATTGCGTCATCGATTTTTTGAACGTGATCGCGGCCGACAGAGAAAACATGGCCGCGGTCTGATTGCACCTCTGGGAGTCGTAAAATTACTGTTCTTCTGTCCCCGCGACCATTCAAATCATACGCGATACTCGAGGACCCACATACTCACCACGTTCTCCCCGGTCGATTTCTCTGAAAGTTTGCACATCGTGAAACACCAGTATGAGAGGTGTTCAGGCCAATTTTCAAGGAATTTCCCTGGTTGGATCGTTCCAAAATCGGACTTCCATTTCTCGCTCGCGCCCATTTCTTGCGCGATGGAAGCGCCCTGCCCTGGTGAGTAACCAGCATCGCGCTTGGTAGAGAGTTGCTGCATTCAGCTCCCTGATGTCTTCGCTGCCATTGTCAGAAGCGATGGTCCATGAATTTGTTTGAGAGTCTCTGGATGCTACTATTCCTCAGCCTAGTTTTCAGCCATTCCGTGCATCTTCTTCGCACGTTTTTTTTTGCAAAAAAATTAAAGTGTCCATGAGTTTTCTTGTCGGCCGCGCGTAGATGGGCCAGGCTGACCTGCGCAGATTGGCTGCGCAGTGCGTTCGCTGATATCCCTACCTACAACCACAAAAAAAGTCATGTACCGGTATATCATACTGGTGTTTGCGATCCTACACTACGTCTACAGTGCACTACCAGTCAGTGCAACGAGTCTACGAGTCACTGACGAAAAAAAAGTACGAAAAATCAAAAAATTAAATTCCGCCAGCGCTCTTGACCACCCACCCCCTTTCTGCCTGAGGACGGATTTTTTAATGTTTCGAAAAATACGGACGACCCCTAAAGGGCACTAGAGTATGCATTGTATGGGAAGGGTAGGCCGGTCACCTAATTCTACATTACACCTGAAACCTGGCAGGCCCCTGTTACCGATATTTAAATACACCTAAAATTACATGATATACAGTATTTGACTAGTTATTGCAGCACGCACAAGCATACTAACATGGCAATGGAAGTGTACATTGCCTCTATCTCTTTTGTGCATTGTCTTAACATAATATCCTTGTTGTTCTATTCCTTGCACCTCGCCCCTTTCTCGTGTTCAGAGTTCCCCGAGCCGGCTGTGAAGTTACTGATGAAGCTGCTCTCTCTGACAGTCGAGCGCTTCCGGTAAGTGACGGGGTTTGTGTGTATGTGCGATGGATTATCTAGTTCTTGTGGTCACGAGCAAAGTGATTTCCAGGCGTTGTGTGTGTGTGTGTGTGTGTACTCATGACTCCTATTCGTTGGGAGACTCCCTATGATAGAGGTCGGTTTACCTTTGGAGAATCCTGGAAATACAGTGGTCCCTTTATAACCCGGCACCATTTGTGCTAGAGAAATTCTGCTGGATTAGGGAGGGTGCTGGATTTGGGAGGGTGCTGGATTAGGGAGGGGGCTGGATTAACAAATCTGATTTACTGCTGCAATGTGCATGAAGGGGACTTTTTGGTTAGTGAACATTGTGCTGGTTTAAAGAGGTATGACTGTAGTGATGTCAATGGCACGTGTGTTCTTATCCACATGTGTGATTGTGCATTTGTCTTGCACTGCAGTGACACTGCATCACAGCGAGCAGTCGAGGCTGTGATCCGCGCTGCTGTTGAACACCACCGTAAGCAGAGTCTCCTCTTTATGTCTTTGATTGGCTGGCTGGCGGTCTCTCTCTCTCTCTCTCTCTCTCTCTCTCTCTCTCTCTCTCTCTCTCTCTCTCTCTCTCTCTCTCTCTCTCTCTCTCTCTCTCTCTCTCTCTCTCTCTCCTGTCTTACCACACTGGAGCAATATCCTCCTCAATCTAGTGTTCCATGTCTCTGCAAAGGTCTGCTGACACACAGCAGTGACCGTGCATAGTAGCCTTCAATAGGTTTACTAGAGAGGTTCTACGAATGCATGCATGTTGGCTAATCAGCATCCCCGTATGGCCGCGAAGTATAGCAAATTCGCTTATGGATACGGGGTATTGAGTGACAAAGAGAAAACAGTAACGGCAGACCAGCACTAGCGTATCTCTGCGCTGCGGTTTTTGCCACTCCATACAAAGTTTCTCAAGTGATGATGTAATCCCATTTCCACTCCATATAAAGTTTCTCAAGTGATGATGTAATCCCATTGCCACTCAATACAAAGTTTCTCAAGTGATGAATCATGTTGTAATCTCATTACCTCTATAGTCAGTCATGTGTTGAAGCAGGTGTGTAGGCACACGTTGGTGGACTCTTCCTTGTGCTACTTTGGTGATCAGAGATGTCTTGCACGCAATGATTTCTAAAAAGAGTTTTGGATTTGGTATGATGGTTTGTGTTTTGCGGTGGCGTGTGCGTGTGTGCGTGTTTATGTGTGTGTGGTGTGTGTGTGCGTGTGTGTGCATGCATGTGTGTGTGTGTGTGTTGTGTGTGTGTGCGTGCGTGTGTGTGCGCTCGCACGCTTGTATGTATGTACTTATGATTCGTCTCTGCAGCATCGGTTGCGGTGAAATACGTGAGCAATGCCGTGTCTGAACTTGCACAGTCCGTTGCCAAGGTTGCACCTAGGTCAGTACATCTCTATCACATGCACTCGCAGACACGGACGCACGCATGCGCATGCACATGTGTGCGCGCGCGCGCGCGCACACACACACACAGACTACAAACATGCCATTGATTCCTGTGTCCTGACAGTGGTTGCTTTTGCCGTGTCATGAAGCCGTCTCACCTCGCAACCTTGCATTGCATTGTAGCCCCCCCCCCCCCCCCTTCCACTACTTAGCAACTCATTTAGAATAAATGTTATAGACAAGCTGTTGGTCACTCTCATTGTGTCAGTGAATAGATCTCCTTTGCAGACCAATGTGACAAAGGTACTAGCACTAGGTTCTACAACACTTTTCCAGACGTTTCGTTTTTCTGAACAACTTTGTCAGTGGATAAAGAATACCGGTAACACTTTGTGCGTGTGTGTGTGTGTGTGTGTGTGTGTGTGTGTGTGTGTGTGTGTGTGTGCGTGTGTGTGTCTTGTGTGTGTGTGTGTGTATTTCTTACTCTTATTGAATCCAGCGCGGCCAATGGGTCGGCAGCATACACCACGTTACGTTGGGCATGTGTGATTGTAGAACCACTGTTATCTAAGGGCGGTGCGACCACTGCCGAGTTCAAGCAATTGGTACGTATGTTTGTTTTCGTGCTGGATGTGTACTG